TATATCTTTACGTTAAATATCTTAATAACGTGGCTGGTGAAGCAGGTGTAAGAATGTGCGAGGATATTTAAAACCTGTATACAATAAATTTCTTTCATTTGTTGAAATTATATTTGTTTCATTTGTTTTTTACCTCTACAATATCACACTATCTTAGTTCAAACTACTAAAACAAACATCATACATTTATATAAATTGAAACCAGTAATATAGCAGCCAAAAGCGTTTATACGTTGTAATAATCAATTACATTAAAACTATTTATTTGTATATAATTCTGACTGTATTCACGATTACATCTCATTGGTAACACTTCCCGCGCTAATCACCCTTTTTAAATCTATCTTTTTAATAACTAAAATGGCAAAGGTTCTGACCAGTATGCCATGTCTTTGGCAGAATGTTAATTCTGCACTCAACACATATCACTGTCTTAGTCTTTTCAATAAAAATGAAAAGGATAACAATAGTTTTTCCTTCATACTTGGCTATAGACCCAAGGTACAATACATTCATATTCCCATACTAGCTGTCGCCCGCGACTTCGTCAGCGCGAAATTTAAAAAAAAAACATTACTAGTAGCCTATGTGTCCTTCCAGGCTATATTCTATGTGTATATAAATTTCATCGAGATCGATTTATTCGTTCTGGAGATACGTTCAAACATACATCCATCCATCCATCTAAACATTCGCATTTATAATATTAGTAAGAAGTAAGGTAGCATAGATACAAACTTTCCATCAGTGTTTAATCTATACTAATTTGTTATGTTCCTAAGATAAATAAATTAAACTCATTAGCAATAATATAGCAATAATAAATTGACAAAAAATAATATTCTTTTATAAAAAAATATGATAAAAAGTTTAATGTAAACAGTTAAACAAATTTAAAACTTATAACAATGTTGACATGACAACATTATTACGTGGGCCCATTCAAGCATTAAAACCACATCCCCGTTTAATAATACTGATGAACGATAAAGGAGGCATAATTGGACGCAATTACCTTCAACCCAATTTTCTATACAAAAAAAAACCATAATGTGACAGTTCCCATCCGCCAAATGCCACTGTTCAGAAACAGGTCATCGAAAAAGAACTACCAAAGACTTCCCAAACATAGTCAATAGCGCGAAGCGTTTTACAAAACCACAAATAACAGGAATCGACAAATGAAATATGAATTCGATTTTTAAAAATTCGCCTTTTCAAATTTGGAATGGCTGTGCCTTTGTGTTACCGGAGCACTTGTTTTCAAGGTCAAGGTTTTAATAAAAATGAAAAGGCGACAAAGATGGCGTCGACGAAATAATATCGTCGTACGCGCCAAAAGAAGAAAACAACTGAACCCCGGCGGCTACAATTTGACAGATATTTTCCTTCGTGAACGTTCATTTTATTATACTCTGTTATACCACAAAATTAATATTTGGAACAGTCGTGAATTAACGAGAATTAACTACCTTTTTTTACGTTATTCAAGTAATTTTGCTGTTTCTTTTAAATATTGTAGTATTTTCAACATTTTAAAACCATTCCATGAGAGCTCGTGAACACAAATGTACATGTAAGTATAAAAAAATTGATGAAATGCATTTATTACATTAATTTCAAGGATCCAATTTTTTAATACATGTATATAAAATTATACAAAGCACGAACATACATTATGTCAAAAATGCAAGACAAGCAACAAAGAAGAACCAGAATTGGCATATTAAAAAAAAAGAAAAAATCAGCGAACAAACTCGAGCGCAGTCGACTACGAAGTGCACCGAAAACGGCCGAATCAACGGCCAAAAGAGTTACCATGACCTTACTCAGTTGCTCTTGACTTGCCGTCGCTGTGTTCGTGTAAGTAAGTTTGTGTGCGTTCGATGCAATTCGGGTACTTTGGCCGCTCCTCGTATTTTTGTTTGTAAATGCATCCGACAAAGAATAAGCAACGTAGACATATTAACAAACACACACTTTTTTCACATACATTTTTACTTATTAAGACAAACTATCATCATATAACGTTTATTAAATAAAATTTAAATTTAAATCAATATTTTTTTATCTTTAATAAAGAAAAAATAACAACATATAACATGTCCTGTCTTATTAAAACCTATGTCTAACTATAAAATAACTTGACCTCAATATGAATTCGAAAAGTTGAAAATTTAGACGAAATAATGCTGGCAGTTAACAGTTACAAAGAATTCTTAAAAAAAACAATCCAAAATGACATTTCTATAATCTATGGTGCGCAATTCGGATACTTTTTTGTCGGCGGCACGACCACAGCGCTGCCGCTGCACGCGCATTTGTGTGTGTGCGTGTATTTTTCGCCGCGTGCAGTTTGGGCATTGCCCTCAGCTGGGACAATAGCACTGACCTTGGCCAACGCAGCTGCGTGCGTACAGACGATTTCGTTCGAGCGTTCGAAATTCAAATAATCCGATTTGGGCGTTTTTTATTTCCTCGCTTATGTATTTTTTTTTGACAGTTCACATGATTCACAAACGTACCAAAATATATTCAACCCAATACATAAATAAAATATCATTATATTAGCATAAACATAGCTAAAAAAAACAAATAATTGAGCTTGAGCATAGTTGACTTATTTAGAAAAAACTATAATATAATTACTAGTGCCCTCTAGTTTTAATACAAAATAGTAAACTATACAAAATTCTTATTAGAAATCTATGACACATCTTAGTATTCATGGCTTAATTTAGCTTGCTTTGAAAAAAAAAATCAAACCACGCCTAACAATGTTTTCAAACCCTTCTAAGGTAAACGCCCTAATTATTGCCCACCCTAAGCAGTTAGAAAGCGAAAAAAAAACTAAAACCTGATCCTTTATAAATCACAATACAAGACGTTGGCGATTTTACGGACGAGGGTAAAAAAAAACAGGTCGCTCACCATATGGTCCTAATGCGGATTGGTTAAAGTGGGTTAGGGGCCAACCTACCGTCAATTTTAGGGCCGCCCATTAGACCTTTTTTCTGCTTAAGTTCTGCCGCAACAATAAATTATTATTTGGTGTTTCATACCCAAATGATACATAACGTATCTACAGACATACATAAGTAATATACATTTGTTATTGATGATTAAACTTTCGGCATGTTAAAGGAAGATATAAATAGAGCGAGACTTAATAATATAACAATAAACATAAATAAATTAATCTACTACGTAACAACCGAAATGATGGAAGATAGATCAATCTAGAAGACAAAAACCTAGTGCGTTAACCCTGAGTGAATGGTATAAGGACTGATAGACGACGTATTAATTGCCGTGAGTTTCCACTGCCGAAAAATTAAAAAAAAATGCCAATATTTTTCGTATAAAATCAGAGATTACAATATATGTTTGTATTATTGCAATGGAAATCTACGGTTACCAACATCTATGTTTTAGAGAAATAAATGTACCATCTAACTCTTACTTAACTATAAATGCGAATGTTTGGATGGATGGATGTTTGTTTGAAAGTATCTTCAGAACGGCTGCATAGATCTCACTGAAATTTGGCATAGATATAGAGCACAGTCTGGAAGAACATATAGACTACTCCTTAGGTTTCTTTTAATTCCGTGCGCACAGAGTCGATGGCGATAGCTAGTTAATGATTAAAAGATACGATGCTTTTGTTATTTGAATGATTTCTTTCATCGTACTCTATTCAATCTTAAGACAATCGAATAGAAAGTAACTAAGAAATACATCTTTGTTTTTTTTTTTCTAATCTTCTAATTCATATATAATGATATCACAATATTGATATTACTTTATTCAAAGAAAAACATTGTTTTTATATAGAAAAGAACACTTGATGACGATATTTTTCTTTTGTAATGAACAAGGAAGTAACTTTTGCTCCGAGAGTTTTTTACACTCCGTTCAACTTTTATGTGAAGATTGTGAAGAAATGATTGAAGTTACATTTTACGACTTTTGTTCTTAATATTTTTTTATTATTATAAAATCGAAATATTAACTCAAGTTTATTATGTTCTGTAATGGATCGTTATTTCCTTTAATCTCCGGCCACGACTGACCTTAACCCATATTGGTAGATAATATTACCAAAATATCACCAGAGAAGGATTGGGGGTCAACAAGTTGCTAAAAACATCTCGTTTTTAAAGACATAGTCAAAGTATAAGATATATGAACAAAATTTACAAAGCCTAAAATGCTATTTAATTCTTAATAATATTAGTATTAAAAAAACAATCACAATTTGTGATTGATATAAAGGCATCGCAATCAAATCTTTTAAACAACTTCATTTGCTTATAGCGCCATCTCGTGTCATATATGCTTAATTAAAGGTACAATCTTTTAAATACAATAAAATTGGAGTATCAAAGAATTTATTACTGATCTAATGAATTTAATGTAAAAAAAATTAATAGTTGCGACTGTAAAAAGATACCTATAAAGTAATGTCTTACTTAGCTAATAGATGGCGCTGTTTTATTCTTGTTAGAAAACCGAGAGAAACTGAAAATACATGCGCATATTAAATGCAGGAGCAAGGAAAAATTACATAAATTTTATTACTTGGAAGTGGGTTGACAAAAAAAATAATGACTTTATTCATAAAACTACCGCCATCTACATTATGAAGAAACACTTACATGAAATACCGCAACGCATTTCATCGCAGATTGGTTTTGGTTTACAGAAACTTTTATAAAATTTCATAAATTAAATGATTGGGTGATTGTTGTCTCAGCAATAAACACATTTTATACACGTTTTTATACATAATTAAAATGACATTACTTTAAGTGATATGTCGTCTCGCAATTTCGAAATACCCCCGCCGATTTTCGTTGTCTAAAATTTTTATACTTTTTTACATCGATTTATTAAAGTCGTATACTAATTTTGTCTTTCTCGAATTATAAATTTCATATCTATACAGAATAGACTAAAATATGTTAAAATATAATAAGTAAATTACTCCTACTTACCAGGCAAGACGTAAACTACGAAGTCGAAAATCGCGCTTGATCTCGAACTATTTCTGCACAAATTTAACACGCACACATTATAATTCTATTTTCACTGATAATCTCATAAGTTTTTTCACAATCTTTCCTAAACTAAATCAATTACTTTTATGTTGAATAATATTGTAAACTTTTGACACAACTTTTAAAACAAACTATCTTTTGACATGTGTTGTGACATTTTGGGTTTCAGGCAACACAAAAAATCCTGAAAAAAATCCTGAAAAGTCAAGTGAAAATCTCATTGCACAACCTTTAGTTTTGTACTTTTCCTAGCGCTTTTTTAGCGGCGGATGTTGTTGTCGTTTCTACTTTTCTGTCTCCATATTCTCAAATATTATTACATAATTTTTATTTGCATTTCTCTTGATAATTTTTGTTCATTAAAAGTCTTGAGTAGTCCCAGTAAAGCCTAAAAATCATCTGAATGTTTTGATTTTTCATTTGAGATATTTAAAAGAATTATAAAAATGCAGTGCAATTTTTTATTAAAATTATAGGCTACTTTCAAAACGCAAAACTTGAACGCAGTTGTAATTATATTTAGGATGGGTAATAAATGGATGTCAAAACCTGTGTTACAATTTATAAAAACCACCTGTAAATAGGGTTCTTTTTCACTTTTTGCTCTCTGACTAAAAACACTTTTCCATTCGTAATTTTCAAGATCTTAAAAATTTTCAATGTAATTGTGTAACTAAAAACGCCTACAAATAAATATTAAATACCTAACTAAAGATACTGTAGGAATGACAAGCATTTAAGTACTTCTAATATGTACTTTAATAATCATTATTACTACTTGTTTAATTTCACGAATCTTAGAATTACTGTTGATGAATTTCAACATTATGTGAATTTTGTGTGCTTTTTAAATGGCTAATTTTAAAAGCTGATATGACAACACTAAATTTAGTACCGTACGGAAACTACACGACGCACGGCCGCTTTTAAGTCCGCGATAAGCTAACAAAACTCGTTGAAAATGCATACATCAAAATGGTAGAATCTCTACAAATGTTCTTATTCCTCTTCAAATCTAAATACAGACGAAAATACTCATGGTTCTCGCCGTTCTTGTGTTCAGTGCTCATAGTGTTATTGTTTTGTCATGATGTTCTATCTAGGTGTAGTGAACATAACTGTATAAACGGTGAATGTAGGAACGAGACCTGTGTATGCTTCGAAGGCTGGCAGGGTCCAGAATGTCAGCATTGCGGTGGGAAGATAAAGTGAGCACATATTCTTGCATTATAACTTAAATTTGCTTACATCAGTTCAGTGACCTATTTGACAGAAGGCATTCCCATGTAGATTCTGCATGAAAAGCCGATGACGGATTATCCAATTACCTTCTTTGGCTTCTCGGCTTCCTCTTGAGATCGCTTTCGAAGGCCGTGTCAAGTTGGAATGTATGTATGTTGGAATAGTGCATTTTCTATAATTTTCACGACACAAACATCGTGAGATTACAAACAAATGGCAAATAATTGACGTGCAAAACCAAACTTTAAATTACATTATTTTAGATGAGAAAACTTCGAACTCAAAAAAAGTGTTGGCTAGGGTTTTAAATATTATACTATATTTACAAACAAACTTATATGTACATACATAACCTTTCCAGCATCTGAAAGGATCTGTTGAGAAAAGAAATAGAGAAAGTAAAGCATAGTAAATAACTTTGAAAACAAACAATAAAAGTAAAACCTTATTATGTTTATCAAAAGTTATTATTAGCATGGGCTATAACAAATTAAGTCAAAACATAAAAACATTTTTGAAGTGGGATAAAGCCAGAGAAATGATTATTTACACCACAGTGTTATAGTATTATTTTGACTTTAGACATTAATTTTAATTTTTATTGCGATATATGCCAAGTTAAAATACTAAAGAGATTCCCAACCTTTTTTTGCCACTTAAAATTTTGCAAGTAACGCTACAACTTGTGATCCCTTAACATTATTCCTCGCTATCATCATCCTCTGGTCTTCTATGGAACATGGACCATAACAGTCTACCTGATTTACTGATTTGGGGATAACTGAGCTATACTAGGTCATTACCCTCTTTAATGTATCACTTAAAATCAAATTAAATTTGACTTCCTTTTACCAAAATACATTAATGATAATGTTGGTGCCTTACTTAATTGTTTAGTTTTTGTTAACCCACTTTATGTAGTGATAATTGTATTAAATATCTTCAGAAGTGATTAGTTAGTAGTAGTTTCTTTTTTAATGTAACTAACCTCCACAGTTTGAATGTATTGACTTGAAAATTTGTATAGGAGCTTGTAAGGTTTACAATAAGAATAATCTTCCTCCCTCTGTCTGCCTTATGTATCCCACAAGGTGGTGGGGTCAACTTTCCCAATCAGTCTCTTCTCCGACCTCAACATCTTCTGGGACTTGCTACTCACTCTTGTCTTAAACCACTACATCATTCCGTCTCATTTTGGGTCTGCCTCTGGATCTGTGACCAGGGTGGTAAAGTTGTTTTCCCTCTCTATGTAAAACTGTAATGACATCTTAGCAGTTAAACCCATGGGAAGATACTTTACGAGTCTTAAATGCCCACTGTATAATATGTTTGGGTCCGAAAAACATAGTTACCTTGCCTATATCCAAACGGAAGTTATTGTCTACAATTTTTGGTATTTAATACCAGTATTCATGTTTAATTTTATAAGGATCTAGACTACTTATTACTCCTACTTATCATCCCAATGTAATAATGCAGGATCAAACTTATTTGTTAACATTTGCAAACTTGATTTCCTTAATTATAATTGAGTTTGAAACTTGTTGGTAAACCTGTTTTTTTCTTATATATGTACACTAATATTATAAAGAGATTTGATTGCTTGTTTATTTATGTGTTTGTTAGCATTGAACAGGCATCAAAACTACTGAACTTTGAGAGTCGAGATGCTACACTTTCAGGTCTCATATGCTTTATATATTACTAGCTGTCGCCCATGACTTTGTCCGCACAGGATTTTAAAAAAAACTTAATAAATAGCCTATGTGTTCTACCAGACAAAATCTATGTTGTCTATGTTCGAGATCTATGAAAAATTTCAACACAATTCATTTAGCCATTGCCGAGATACCTTAAAACAAATATCTATCCATCTAAACATTAGTATTTATTCAATTTGTAAGATAACCTTAGATTTTTTAATTCCATGCAGACAAAGTCACAGGCTACTGGTATATTGAATAAGAATTTTGAGAGAGATGACATATTAATATAATATAATATATTGTTACATAGTACATTTTAAAATGCATAAATGCATAAGTTATGTGAGAACACATACATATGTATTATGTAAATATATTCATCAATTTTTATTTTATGTCAAAGTATACAAATTACAATCATTTTAAAATAAATATCTGCAAAATCAAATATAAAATTTCATGTTGAAGTGATGTATTTAAGCATGGGTTTCCACTGCCGATGCACTTATATAAAACATTCTGGCATCCTTCACTTTCTATTCTAATTAAAGATATCTGGAAGAATAGATTGTGTTTTTTTAAATTACACTTGAACGGTATCGCGGGCGACAGCTGTTATTAAATACAAGTGACACGGTAATAGAATTTCATGGTTAAATATTTAAAAATATGTGTCCATGGGACATTATGAATGAAATTTTTAGTTACTTTTAAACAATGTCCATATCTGCATGTTAACTGGCTATTTATTTCATTTTATTCTCTATAGAACACTACCTTTTGTGTAACATGTGATAAAATCATTTTACACAATTCAATTTGTATTTTGTGTCCTTGACACTTATTAAACTTGTAATTTTGACGGCTCGGTAGTTGTTGATTTTATTTCTTTATCTAGTAGCTGTCACCCACACCTAGATCTGCTTAATTAAAAAAAAAACTTAGATAGTGTGTGTATCTCCAGACTATGCTCTACATCTATGCTAAATTTCAGCGAGATGCATGCAGACATTCTGGAGATACCTTCAAACAAACTTCCATCGATCCATCCAAACATGCGCATTTATAATATTAGTAAGATTTTGGCAGCTACATTGAGAAATGTATGCTTTTATTGTCTTGATGTGTTGAGAGTATACATAAAAATATTGAAAAGTGTTGGTGTATACCGGGGAATCATCAGACTTGCAATCTACAGGTTCAGGACCATTCCCACCATAACCCAATGTGTTTTTTTTAATTTCACATATACATTTCTGTCTTACTTTCTTAGTCTCACCAGATGGTGATTACATAAATAGAATTAACAAGTAAAATACATAGAAATATCAGAGTGATGATATAAATAAATAAAATTGTATTGAGTATTGATAAAAAGTGCTTGTAAAATAAATGCAAAAGATACAAGATAATTGCATAGGAATCTACCAAATGCATCCATAATGTATGAAATGTAAATAAATCCATAGCAATGTGCGGCAACATGGAAACTTGATCTCTTTTGTCTTTTAGAAGGGCGTCAATTCGTATCAATGCACGTAGGCGTGATTGTATACGTTAAACTGTTAGCAGACACGCAAGGCTGCTGGTAATGTAACAATCGATAACATATCGTTGCACTTATTGTCATGTATGCAGCTACAATATGATATAAAAATTATTTAATCTAACTTCCAGGACTTTATATCAATAAATATTGTTAAATAGTTTCAATTAATGTAATGAGATCGAATGTGGATGGCTACAAAGATCAAAAAATGTTTAGATGGTGTTGACGATAGAATTTAAAAGCATTCTTAATATGTTTTGTAATTTAATTTCACTTAATTGTAGTATTGTGTTTTGTTTATTTTCTTTAAATAATCTTTTTCTTATGTTATCATCATAATCAACCTAAATTCTTCCACTGCTGGACGTAGGCCTCCCCCATCGATGGCCACAATGCCTGGTCCTTTTTTTTCAGAGGGGAATGTTTTAGGGATACTCCATGCCTCGGGGAAGGCATGGTAGTTATGTGGTATTCTCTCCCCGAATAAGAGCATACCGAATATCGTTTGTCAAACATACTGTGTGCATATTGAAAATCTGTGGTTTCATTTCGCTGTATCACCGCCATCCTCTGCAGGGATAGGCAGGTTGATTATGAAATAGTTTCAATTAAATCAACATCCAACTAAAGGATTTTACAAGATTATAGATGTAGGTTTTGTCTTAGTACTTTTTGTCTATTGAGAAATTCCATAATATTGATATATGTTTGCCATTGGTTAATTTTGTTTTGAAATACCTCCAACCAATTTGCCTTTAATACTATCAGGAAATTAATTTGATGGATGCATGGATTGATGTTTATTTGAATGTATTCAGAATGACTGCATGGATCTTGCTGAAATTTGACATAAATGTAAAACAGTCCGGAGGAACACATAGGCTATTAATTTAATAACAGTGTTGAGGGCAACTAGTTTTTTATATAGAAAGTATGAAATGAGAGAGAAAATTGTCATAAAATTGGTTTGAGTTATAACATTTCGACTGTTCCTTATTTCCAGATTGAGTGCCGCAAGTGGTGTGATAACGGATGGTCCTGGGAACTACAGTGTGAGTACAGCATGTTCGTGGCTGGTGGCTCCGCCCCGGCTCGGCCCTGGCCCGCCTCCTTTGCGGATACGTTTGGAGAGCTTTGCAACAGAGTGCGGTTGGGACCACCTGTATGTTTATGACGGGGACAGTGTACGGGCGGAACGGTTACTCGCCGTATTCAGGTAACATAGAAGAATTTTTACTTTAAACAATCCATAAGTTTTTATGAACATGATTATGAAATCAATGGTAAGCTGTTAATAAAATAAAAATTATTATTTTTTTTATTTTAGTGGTGTGTTGGACGACGGTGATTTTGGATGGACGAGACAAGTTATAGCGCGGTCAGGGAGTGCGTTGCTTCACTTTTTTTCTGACGACGCTTATGCTATGGAAGGCTTCAATGTCACTTACGCTGCATACTCTTGTCCTTCAGATGATCATCGTACTAACTGCTCAAGTAAGTAGAAATTGAACCGATAGTTGCATTGTTTGTGGCAGATGGGTTCTTAATTTTTTTGTTCACCAGATCATGGGGAATGTGAAGATGGTGTATGCAGATGTGAGCCAGATTGGGTGGGCGTGGCTTGCGATGAACCGCTTTGTCCAGGTAAAACGTTGATTGATTGTACACGGCTTTAGTTGACTCCAGCCTAGTTAAGGTCACCTAAATAATTTATGGTTTGGTAAATAATTATCAAAGAAACAGTTGTTGTTTTTTTGTTGTATAGAGGGAGGACATTTATTAGCAAACCAAAACAGGGAAATTAATTTTTAATGTTAACATTGTGCTTAGGTTGAAAACTTGTTTTAGTAACTAAAATGTAAGATTATAACTCTTATGGTGACAGTTATTTTCATGTCCCGACACTGTATTTTATTGCCTCTCCACTATTGGAGTTAGCCTAGCGGGATAGGTATTACTGTTGGTTTTGACTTCATTGAGACATACACTGGCACATATTATCTCTCGCATTATGTTTGAATAAAAACAGAGAAAATAATGTGTTTCAGATGACTGCAATGCTGAGTACGGTGCGGGGGAGTGTACTAGGGCGGGATGTGAATGCGCGTCTTCGCGTGCGGGTCCAGCGTGCGCACGCGACGCGGCCTCAGCGGGGTGGGAGTGGCGCTGGCGGGAGGCGGGTGACGCGCGCCCCTCCCTGCCTACGCCTGCGCATGCCCCGCCCCCCGCCGCTGCACACGCGCTGCTCGCTGCCGGCCCCGACCTGCTGCGAGTAGGCGGGGAGACGTTCTCACATGCTGATTTTATGTACAGGTAAAACTTTTGTATGATCTAGATATTTTTGTATAATATAGATATTTATTTTAATCTTACTTCTTACTAATATTATGAATGGTTACCAGGTTTGGATGGATGGATGTTTGTTTGGAGATATCTCCAGAGCGGCTTTTTTTTAATAGCTAGTTTAAAATATGTTGTAAATTAGCTATCGCACGAGACCCCCACGGCGCCGAACTAAAAAAAATTAGCCTATGTGTTTGTCCAGTCTACATTCTACGTCTGTGTCAGATTTCAGCGAGATCCGTTTAGCTGTTCTGAAGTTACCTAATCAAAAACATCCATCCTTACATCTACCCATTCGCATTTATGATATAAAATTTAAATTGCCAAGCATTTATGTTTATAATCTATGATTCTATGTATTTTTTTTATTATGAAAACTTTTTGTTCATTAAAAATATGGAGCCATAGATTGCAGCAGTATGGAATGTTCCTATGGTCAACTTTAGGTATTTTTTTTCAGATATAAAACTGCAGAAAACCGGTGGTATCCTATAAAAGCGATAGACGAGGGTGCGATCAGTCCAGCGCCGAGGTTCGCCCACTCCGCAGTCATGTATGGAGACGAGGTCATCGTGTATGGAGGAGTTGTGGCTTCTGATGAACCTGAAAGAGGGTGAGTTATTAATAAAATATTTAACTACCGTACTCAGAGACCAATCATCGCCTAAACAGCAATTTAAGTGGAATCTAATACACAATAATACACACCAAAAGACTTTAATATGATTTTTAAAACGCATATTTGCAATTAGCTTCTTTATGACGTCATCGACTAAATATGTTAAAATCTGTATGAGAGTTGCACATCCGCGAGAGGTGCAAATTTTATCGATGGTTTACGAAAACATTCTCACGAATTTTCGTGCTAGGCCCTCTGTAATGTTTAAGCGGTTTTTTTTCTTGTTTGTTTTCTTTATGTGTTGCTAAGTTACTGGAATTAATATAATTGCTTGTTTGTTATGGTAGGGGTGGTCTGGCGGGGCTGGAGGGTCGTGCTGGCGAGGTGACCAACGAGGTGTGGAGAGGGCGGATACAGGAGAACACGGTCATCTGGAGCAACGCCACGCCCACCGCCTGCTCCCCGCACAGGACCGCCCCATTGAAGCATTGCGGTCAGTAAACTAATATCCAAAACATTAACCAAAAAGTATAAATTTTAATTGCATATTCTTTCTTAACCAAATTGAAAGTTTATTTATTATACTAGTTGTCGCACGCGACTTTGTCCGCGCGGAATTATAAAAAAACTTAATTAGTAGTCTATGTGTTCTATATGTATGCTAAAGTTCAGCGAGATTTAATTAGCCATTCTGGAGATAACTTCTGACAAACATCCATCCATTCATCTATACATCCGAACATTCGTATTTATAATATTAGTAAGATTGTTATTTTGTTATTTAGGAGGTCTACACTTGTCCGGGCACACGGCGGTGCTCGCTCACATAGGACCCACCCAGAAGGCAGTCATGGTGGTTTTTTTCGGTCACTCACCACATTACGGGTACATGCATATTGTGCAGGTGAGTTATTTACCAAAAAAAATGTCAAAATAATTATTAATCTTCTGAGAGACGTCAAATGGAAGTAATTTCGAGGACAGTCTGATAAAATTGCGTGTCAGACACTTAATTATAATCCTATTCAAATTTCCAGGTATTAGAAAAAGGTGGGAAGGGGAAGTTGATTTGATGTGGAGGGGAACGCATAAAATGGGAGAAAAAAAAACCCTTTTTTTGTGTCCCCTTCTACGTCCATTAAAATAGTGGTCACTTAACTGTGGTAGCCTCTTGGTTGTTTTCTACCTTACAATATAGACAAATGAATAAAAATATTATGTTTGTAGGAGTATCACATAGAGGAGGGGGCGTGGTCAGCCCCGCCCACCAAGGGGTGGTCCGCACGCGCTGGCTTCGGTCACTCTGCCGCGTGGGACCCGCTCTCACGCCGTGTCTACGTACATGCAGGACTTGTGTCTGAATCTGAAGCCGCACAGGTTAGTAAATCTTAAAATATATATTTTTTCATTGTTTTTTTAAACTGTGTTAAAGCTGAAATATCTAAAAAAGGTATGTTATCTCTATTTTCCAAACATAACGAGAAGGACAGATTATTTTGCTAATTAAGGTTTTCTGTAGAAAACTATTACTATTATACAACTAGTGACAAAACTTGTTCAGTTATGACTATACTAGCTTTTGCCCGCAACTTCGTCCGCGCGGAATTAAAGAAGAAACCACTTAGTTTATGAGTTCTTGTAGATTTATATATCTATGTTAAATTTCATCGAGATCCGCTAAGCAGATACGTAGTTACAAATATCCAAGTATGATATTATGATTTGATTACAGGCGCCGTCGTCAGCGTTGTATGAATACGAGGTGGAGAGTCGCGTGTGGAGGCCGCTGCCTTCTGCCCCCACACCTAGATATCTGCATACAGCTATATTTGTATCACCAGGTCAGAAATGTACACATAATATACGATTACTTAGTATTAGCACTATTTTGTGTCTAGCCCAACCAAGAAAATAAGAAATCTACCCTAAAACCAAGGATAGGGGGCGCCTCCATCGCCTTTTTACTACGGAATTATATGAGTTTCTCGAGAAATAGTTACATATCTTATGGAATCTTAAAGATGTTACTCTGTTTGTCAATTTTTCTGATTTTTATTAGAGATTTTTATATATTTAGTCAGACTACTGGTTACAAGATATACTAATATCATGAAAAATCACTATATTAAATTCAATTTCTGTCTTAATTTTGCTGTTTTTTTTTAAATTTCTAATTGTTCACATATATGTTACAGGTGTGATGTTGGTGTTCGGTGGTAACGCACACAACGACAGCGCGCCCGCCGCCCCCGCCACCCCCGCCGCCTCCAAGTGTTACTCCGCTGCTGCGATGATCTATGACGTCAGGTCTGTGACGTCATCTGCACATACAAACTATGAAACGTTAAAACATGATATTTAATATCATTAACATATAAAGATAGAGATGGAGGAACATAAGAGATGATTTTTCATTTTTCACTGTAATTAGTACATCTAATGCATGAGAAAAACTGAACGTTCTATATAGATTGCGCTAGCGTCAAGAGTTCCCTGTTCATCGGTAAAATTGTTTGTATGTAATTTTGTCGTTTTTTGAGTGTAAATTAAAAATGTGTTCCTTTTTTACTATCTGAATTAAAAAAGTTCCGAAGCAAAAATGTGTCCGCAGCTAGAATTAGCCATTTTTTGCCATGCATAATTTGTGAACTGTTTAAAATTTTTTTTTTTTGAGTGACTTACTTTCTAGTGCGTACGTTTCGTCCACATGATCACTTAACATCAGTTGGGATCGTAGTCTAACGCTGGCTTTCTCAACATATAAAATAATAATGTGTTTGTTTGTACAGATGTGGCGTGTGGCATTCAGCGCCGGAGCCGCGTGGTGCAGCTCGTGCTGCGCACGCGGCGGCTCTCATCACACACCGGGGACGCAAATCTGCTATTATATATGGCGGGTGAGATATAGCTAGCTGTCGCATGCGACTGCGTCCGTGCTGAATTAAAAAAATAAAAAAAAACTTAATTAGTAGCACGTGTTCTACCAGAATATGTTCTATAGCTATGCCAAGTTGAAGTGAGATCCCTTTTGTTGGTCTGGAGATACGTTCTAATAATCATATAATCTTTAGCGTTTATAATATTACTAACTGTCGCCCGCAACTCCGTCCATGCGGGATAAAAAAAGCTTAATAAGACTATGTTCTACATCTATGAAAATTTCAGCGAGATCCGTTGAGCCGTTTTGGAGATATCTTCAAAAATCCATCCATCCATCCATCCAAACATTTGCATTTATAATATTAGTAAGCTAGTAAAAATTGTCATTCATTTCCCTATGTTTAACAATTTCAGTTTCGACAGTCGTCTCCGATCAGACGCGCTGGTGTTTGTTGTGGGCGCGGCTTGCGCTACGTACAAGGACGAGCACTCGTGCGTCTCCGCCACACGGAACTCCGCCCTCGCGTGCGCTTGGCGGACCAGGGAGTCACTCTGTGTCGCCGTAAGTTAATTAATTTATTATTTGCGTGCCAGAGGACTAATTTTAGTCCTCTTTACTTTTTCACCTCGGTATATAAAGGGGAATGGGATTTGACAGAAAAAAAGAAAATATGCACATGCAAATTCAGTTGTCTATGGGCAATGTTCACTTCGCCATTTTGGCGAATTCCATTGGCATGGAATCTTTTGCTATAAAATCACATTAGTAGATTCCAGGATTTACATTTATCTATTTGTATTCCAGTGCTGGATTAAATGGACAATTCCTTTTGCTTTATGTTTTTGTATATTTTTACTTTTTATTCTTTGTTTTTTTTTTACTCTTTTTATCTTGGGTACGTTTTTATGTGAACATGTGGAATCAATGTTACAAATTAATTGTTTCCAGTTGGAAGAAGTCGGTTGGGCGAAGTCTTTTGATGGTACAGTGAAAACTTGCGCTGTTGAACCTGTGTTAGGTAAGACCAGATCAAATTTTAGCTAGATAAAATGTCACTTAGGATTAAAAAGAAATCAAACAACTGCATTCAAAATTAAACTTTATTTCAATAAGATAAGATTCAATTTGATTAACTGTCAGTATTAGTCTTTAAATAATTGTTTGCAGACGAAAAGCGTTGCGGTACTGCGGAGTGGTGCGGCGCGTGCACAGCTGCGGGGTGCGCGTGGTGCGGCGCCTGCTACCCCTCCGCGCAGTACTGTCTCAGGCACACACATCAGGTATGGACAAGAGACAGGTATCCCCTCTATTTATTAAAGGTAGCCAGATGGCTATGGTCAGCAATTATTTTGGCAAACGAGCAAGCGACCATCTAAATTCGCTAGCGTTGTCTATAGACAATAAATCCGTTGCCTAATTTTATTCAGTGGATAACGGGTCGTATAGAAAGAGGATATTTCCCCTTCCTATGCATCCCCTTCTCTGCCAAATCCACTTTACCTTCCCATTATTTTCTTATTAGAAAAGGATTAAAGGGAATATGAAATTATCAGACAAAATGCGGAATTGATTTCACTTTACTTGATCATTTCTGTAATATCAGACGTTTGTTTGCTCATTTACTACCGTATACTATATATGTATGTATGTATATCTAGATGGCGCTATCGTTAGAGGAGTGCGGTGGCGCAGGATCAGAGCCAGCGCGTGACGCGTGCGCTCGCTACCACTCGTGCGCAGCTTGCCACGCCCACAGACATCACCACGCCCACGTGAGTACGCACTAAGCCACGCCCACTTCATACATATGAACTGTTAGGAAGAAAATACTAAAATGTCGTCGTTTGTGTCCACTAATGATTCTGTCACTTGACTTTGTAACGATCGCGTCATTCGCGCCAAAGGACTCTAGTAATGTTTAAAAGTATGTATGTATTCTGTCTGCTTTCCAGGCGATAGAAGACGTGAACCAACGTGCCTGTTACTGGGACTATGACACTGTTAAATGTAAGCCGGCAAATACAACGGATGATATAAGGTATATGAATTGAATATTTGTTAAACATGTATATTTGAACCACTGAGAGGCGCTGCTATCGCGGTTCTGTCAAAAAATATATAAAACCTACTTAGACACAGAACATTATAAATGAAAAATATGTCATTATATTTTTCTAGCTATTTTAGCTGTGTGACAGGGGGGCGCTAGTGAGCTGTCATAATTTTATTTAACATATTTTAAGTCCAATAAGGGTATAAATCTAATGCAGTTTATTGACGTGACAGGTCTTCTATTCGTTCCTTACGAAGATTTCTATTTTTTTTATATCATAAGGTGGCAAACGAGCGAGCGGCCACCTGAAATCGCTGAAATAGCGAAGCGGCCGCTGCCCATAGACATACGCAATTGCATATGCGTTGTCTACCTTTAATCGACGGAGGAGAAGATGCATAGAAAATAAATGTTTTCCCTTCCCATGCATCATCTCATCCAGAAAGTCCACTTCCACTTACCATCCTTTCCTTTTAAGAAAAAGAGTGGGAAGGGAAAGAGGACTAATTTGATGCAGTCTTGCGCTTCTACATATTTCCATTTTTTTTTCCAGGAGTGTGTCGAGCGGTGGATGCAGCGCGCCGTGTGCGACACACACCACGTGTGCCAACTGCACAGCCGAGGAATGCATCTGGTGCGCCTCAGCCGGACGATGTGTTGATAAGGTAAGCTGATAAATATTTATAATGTTAATTCACAACAAAATCAATTATAAATAAACATAAATAATAGTCTAACAACGATATACTGTCAAAAAAAATCTTACTAATATCATAAATGTAAATGTTTACATGGATGGATGTTTGTTTGAAGTTATCTCTAGAACGGCTGAACGGATCTTGAAGAAATTTGGCATGGATGTAGGACATTTTTGACAGGGAGAACACATAGGCTACTTATAAAGTATTTTTATTCCACAAGGACGGAGTCGCGGAAGACAGCTTGTATACTTATAAAACCTATTTAGGCACTAACAATGCCATTAAAGAAAAAATACAAGACACCAGGATTTTGATTTTTTTTCAAATTGACAGGGGGTCACTATTGACTTATGACTAACCAGGTCAGATATCCTTGTTGATAATAATTTATTTAGCTATTATATATTTTTTGTTAATTATTTACAGAATGCATACGGTGCGTCGTTTCCATTGGGCGGATGTCGGGCGTGGTCGACGGGTTTGTGTGCGGGGGGCGGTGCTGCGGGTGGACGGGGCGGGGGGTGCGCGGCGCATGCTGGCTGCGCCTCGTGCCGTGCGGAGCCTGCTTGTGGCTGGTGTGATGATGGTGAAGGTGGTGGCCGGGGTACCTGCCTGCCTGGTGGACAGCGGAGACCTCACCAGCCGCATGTCTGCCCACAACACAGGTTACTATGACAAACATTATTACAGACTTTTTGTCATACTCAGAGACTTAAACCTTCACTAGAGTGTTGTTTAAGTACTCAATAAGCTAATGGGATAGTTTAAGTTGTAGTTTGATGTTAGATATCTTGGTGGCTTTTAAATTCAGATGAGCCGCTACGCAGAATAATTTGATTAATTGCGTAGTGAAATCCAGAAGGACCACCAAAATATTTGAAAATATTAGTATCAAGCTTCACTTATACTTTGACATATAAAATAAAGTTCATAATATTTGTGTTTTTTCTCAATTAAATCTTAATATGGGAAGATTACGATATGCACATGCATTACTGAATCTTTGTACATTTCCTCGCAATATCGATCTTTACTACTATTGTATAGCATTGTATCTTACTAGTATTATAAATGCGAATAATCGAATGAATACTTGAAGGTATCATCAGGTCTTTTGCATGGATCTATTTGAAATTTGGCATATATATAAAGCATTAAGTTTTTTTTTTAATTCTGCGTGTTGAGAATCTTGTAGATAGTATGTGAAAATAACTGTCAGTTAAAATATGTTGTATATAGATGGCACTTCACACGATGTCCGCTGTGTCAGTGTAACGGTCACGCGGTGTGCGACGAGGCGGCGCGGTGCGTGCAGCCGTGCGGCGCGCGCGCTGTCGGCGACCACTGCGACACGTGTGCGCCTGCGCATTGGGGCACTCCACTTAATGGAGGCGTATGTCAACGTTAGTATTCTATTTTTTTAAATATATTATCAGCTTGGAATTAATATACGATAATATAAAGAACATAATTTTGAATATATGATTATTTGAGATTTTTTAGAGGGAAGCGTCAAGTGATGTCCATCAGCGCACAGCTATAATTCAGCTGTTGAAAACATTGAAACGCTGTATATAATTTTCATTCTCTTTGATAATGGAAACAATAAAATTGTCTATCTTAAACTGTTATTCGCAATATAGATAAATAGGTTATTTTATTATTGGAAAACAAAATCACTCATGTGTCGCAACGGTTTGTTTACCATATGTCTAAGCTTGGTTCATGACGTTTTGGTTATGTCAAAATCGACCAGCTCTTACTGCTAGAGCCATCTACTGACAAACAGAGAGAACTTAGTTGCGCACCTAATAAATTTAATTAAAAACTTAAGACTAACAATCAAGTAATTTATCCGATGACGGCACCGACAAGTTCCAAGCCCATCTTGGGCTCTTCTTCAGGGTCTATGAGATTGGATTATTTCATTCTCTCTCGGTATTAACACTGGATAAATATCTTGATTTTAGTCATATATAAATAAATAATTTAATTTGTATACTGTATTGCAGCGTGTTCGTGCAATGCTCAAGCTGTGTCGTGTGCTGCTGACACTGGCCGGTGTTACTGCAGCACTAAGGGTCTGGCGGGGGATCGCTGCGACAAGTGTGATAATACTAACCACTACCATGCAGATGTTTATAACAAAGGAGCTTGTTATTGTAAGTTTTAATACAAGATTTTATACTTATTGTATTGATGGATTGCTATAGACGCAATTTTTTTGTGTGGGGAAAGTATTATGGAAAATTTTCAAATTAAATTTGTAAACATTAATCGTGAATATTCAAAAGTTGATTACAATTGAAAAATTACTTGGTACTAAAATTACTTTGCCTTTCCTCTTATCATCAGTTCACTATATGTCCCCACCGAAGGCCTCGGAGCCTACCCTAAGGTAGGGGTGACTAGGTAATCACGCTGGCCCAGTGCGGGTTGACTTAACACATATCTTTGAATTTCTTCTCAGGTATGTGCAGGTTGCATCACGCTGTTTTCCTTCACCGTAAGAACGTCGGATAAATGTACATATGTAAATCGGAAATCGAAAAACACATTGGTATACGACGGGATTCGACCCAAGACCTACAGATTACAAGTCAATCTTAATCTAGGACGTTCTTTCTCTATAAATTTTTAAATATCTTTATATAAGTTTAAATGACAATTTCCAGATGATTTAGCGGTGGACTATCAGTTCACATTCAATCTATCAAAGAAGGAGGACCGTCACTTATCAGCGATCAACTTCCGCAACGCGCCTGTGAAGCCGGACGTGGACGCGGACTTCAGCATCACGTGCTCAGCGCACGCGCGCATGAACCTGACTGTGCGCACGCGCGCTGACCCCGCTGAGCGCACGCTCTTCAGCGACCTCAACTGTACCAACTTCAGATACAAGTAACACATTCAAACTTTCTTTTATCCGGCTCGAAGGACCATATATTGACGGTCCAAGGTCAACCGTTTGCAGTTTCTTACACTGAGCAGATCTGGATGATATTTGCATTAGAGATAGATTTTTTTATCCCCTAAAATCTAAAATATAGACCAGTCTCGCATCAATTAAAATTAGATTTAAAACATTGCTTACGAGAAAGCTCTGTATTCATATAAAGTTTTTTTTATTTGTACTCATGACCTTTAATTTAAATATTACCAATAAATTGTATTGTACATTTGTTTTGCTTTCCAAACACTTATGTAATTCTTAGTGTATAATCCGATGATCTAGGCTAAGTCTAGGAGGGGAGGGGCTACCATTTATACCGCCCCCCTCACAACACCAATGCTTAGTTTTATTTTTTACTTCCATATTTCAATTTAAACCTTAATACTAGCGTAAATTTTAACTATTCCACTTTTACTTATTAAAATGCACTCACAGGTCATTGATTTTTTTTTTATATCATAAGATGGCAAACGAGTTAACGGCTACCTGAAATCGCTGAAATAGCGAAGTGACCGTTGCCCATAGACATACGCAATTACATATGCGTTGCCTAACTTTAATCGACTGAGGAGAGGATGCACAGAAAGAAAATATTTTCCTCATCCGGAAAGTCCACTTCCACTTCCCATTCTTTCCTTATAAGAAAAATGGTGGGAAGAGAAAGAGGACTAAATAAGCCTTCCGGGACACACACTCATCAGACTGTACTTGGAGTAGCTTCCACTTGACGCCTGTCTTCTGTGTGGTCGTGGTATTTCACCGGGCGAGCCGGGCCGTGCCGTGCCGATTCGTGCGAACATGTTAAAGCGGGTTCTACCAATGTTACAGAATATGTTAAAGTTATATAAATTATATCAATATATAAGAAATACACATAAATAATAAAGTAAGGCCGTTCCATTACAGGTTCGCGAAGTCTGAGCACGCATTCGGTGTTGAAGACAATGTCACTTTGACGACATTCTTCGTTTACGTGTATGACTTTCGACCTCCACTCTGGATACAGATCTCCTTCTCGCAGTATCCGAAATTGAATCTGCAGCAGTTCTTCATCACATTCTCCTCTTGTTTCCTGCTTTTGTTACTCGTTGCTGCCGCTCTGTGGAAGATTAAACAGGTGAGGGCAAATATTCATAACTATGTAATTGAGTCATCGCACTCAGAATACTTAAATGATCACTTAGGGTGTTTATATAGTCCGAGGAATTACAAGTTGCACTAGAGCTGTGTTTCCTAATTAGTGGTACGCGTTCCCACTGGGGTACGAGAAGTGGTATCAAGGGGTATCAGTAAAAAAATTAAAATGTCCAAAATAATTATTTTATTACGGTCCAGGCGTTTGAGTGTGAAGAAGTAAAAAACATACACTGACAAACTTTCGCATTTATAATATTAATGTGATTCCTACAATAAGGGGTATGCAGGTTTGAGCTCTTTTTTGAAGTGGTAAGCAGCAAAAACTAATTCGGAACCACTGCTCTAAGGGACGGCTACAAAGGGAGGTTGTAGTGAGTCAAGTTTCACATAACCCTGTCTTTCCACCAGAAAAAAGGATATCTTTTGTAGATCTCCCCCCCCCCTCAACCTCCAAATTAAAAAAATGTCGTCCATTTACAGACTATTATTTTGATAGTTATATTATGAGATTTTGAATAACTTCTCTTTGAATTGTTACTTATTTTTACATTGTTGCAAAATTTAAAGCGATATATTTTAATTTAATACGTATTTTAAATTAATGAAGATTAATTCTATAATAACATATTATATGTTGAATTCATAATAAATTTATTTACCTAGTTATGTTTTTGTGTTTAGAAATACGACATATATCGTCGCAGACAGCGGCTGTTTGTTGAGATGGAACAGATGGCGTCCAGACCATTCAGTCAAGTCTGCGTTGAACTGGAGAAAGGAGGTGGAGGTGAGTAGTGTACACCAGAAATCAAAAGTAAGGGTAGGCTTCTGAGATGCGGTCTACGCACTTCAGTTTCTTTTACCAGAAATTTCGGTGAAACATATTTAAGGACTAGCAGTCGACCGCGACTCCGTCCGCGCAGAATTAAGGAAATCTATATGTATGCCAAATTTCATCGAAATTTATTCAGTTGTTCTGGAAATACTTCCAAACAAACATTTGCATTTATAATATTAGTAAGTTAAAACATACTCTTTTACAACCATTTTGATCTTCATAATATCAATATAAACATATGGTTATCTCTGTTTCATATAGAGATTTAGGCCTCAGAAACCCACAATAAATAAGTTTATTGTTCAGGTGTGGGTGTACCAGCTCCTGTGGCGCTGGAGCCGTGCCGCGGTGGTCGGGCGGCGGTGCTGTCGCTGCTGGTGCGGCTGCCGACTGGCGGCACGGGGCGCGCGCCGCCGCTGGGCGGGCTCGCTGTCGCCTCCGCACTCGTCACACTCGGACACCACCACGCGCCGCCAGCCAAGCGACCCAGGCACCGCTGACACACACCCCACTCACAGTCAGTTAATATTCCGCACTAAGGGATAACCATAAGTTCAATTCATTTCCTTAGTATTTGGCTGCGTTCAAATTGGGAGATAAACTGCCCTTTGTTTACTAAAGTATATATGTGATATATTTAGCGATACAATCACTCTTGATCATACTGACATCTATAGTAAACAAAAGGCAGTTTTTTATATAGCCGTCGCCCGCGACTCCGTCCGCGCGGAATAAAAAAAATATAGCCTATGTGTTCTTCCGGACTAAGTTCTATATGTATGCCAAATTTTATTAAGATCCCTTCAGCCATTCTGGAGATACCTTCAAACAGACATCCATCTAAACATTCGCATTTATAATATTAGCTATATTAAAATTATATATATTTGTTTCAGATGTAAACAGCAATGTAAATAAGTGCGTATCGAATAAGTACTGTGTACATAGAAATAGTGTTTTGCTCAAACTTGTCAAGTTTGATACATTAATACTCAGCCTTCAGCTCGCCACACCGGACTGACATGGCGGCGGAGTCAAACGGAAAGTGTTAACAAATCTCATCTATTATCTATGGTTCAGTGTAAACTATAACACCAAAATGACAAAAAAAATGTTTTTTCTACTCGTATTTTTATATCATAAGGTGGCATAAGCGAGCTTCCAGAAAACAATGAAATAAAGCGACTGTTGCCCATATACAAGCTATTGCAGATGCAGAGAAAATACATAGAAAGAAAATATTTTTCCTGCCCATGTATCCCTTGTTTTTACGATGAAGGAAAACATCTTGATGCAACCTGCATATATCTGAGAAGAAATTCAAATATATGTGTGAAGTCAACCTACACTGAGCCAGTATTGACTGGCCTAATCACCCATAAGTTAGGGTAGGCTCCGAGCCCCTCGGTGGGGACGTATAGTGAGCTGATGGATGATGTATCCCTCATCTGGGAAATCCACTTCTACTTCCCATCATTTCCTTATAAGAGGATGGGAAGGGAAAAAGGACTAAAATTAGTTCTCGTGGACATTCTGAATCTTTATTCAACACAATAACATAAGCTTTAAGTTGATTCAAATTATTCGTTAAGTGGTCTTCATATTAAATTGTAAGAAATATGTAAAATTTTATAGCTTATGACAATTCAAACTATCAAATTCATATTTTTCTAGCTATTATTCCTATTTTTAAATTATATTTTACTTGTTTTACATTTACAGTTATGTTTTTAAATATGAGTAGAAAAAATATTTTTTGTCATATGCCTTTTTTTAATACTTGGACCATAGTTATTGAATATTAGTTGTCGAAGGAATCGTATCTCTTATTTTTGTTATAAATATGTTTAAAAGACTAACCGTGTGTTTCTGAGACCAAAAATATCTGTATAAAACATATCGTTGTCATTATCTTTGACAAAATACAGATAATAAGTTTTAATTGGAGATTTTGGTATCAGAAACCCACAGTAAATGGGCATTATGTAAATGTCATAATTTTTTTACCCTGTTTTATGTTGTAAGAAAGATATTTTTATATTTATTTTTAGGTTTTAGCTATTTTTTAATATCACAATATTTTTGCTTTATATCATTTTTATTACAAACATTCTAGGTGCTTATTAGTCTATGGTTTATTTTAAAAAAATTATCTGTGAATGATTCAGTGTTGCCACATTTTTAAATTACGATTTTCCCAATTCATTTTATAACAGTATTTTAAATTCCATTTTTCACTGCCATTTTTATTTAATGTCATTTAATGTTTGAAATAAATTTTATAAGCAATATAATATTTAACGTCCACATTGTATCGCTAGAGGAATTTGTGTCTTCATAACAACGATGTGATAATTGTCATCACAATGTAGTTTGTATATTTTAGATCGAGAACTTTCCATTTTTTTTTACCCTAGGACTAGAATCCTAGATCTTAGTGATTTTGAGCTAATTTTGTAGCAAACGCTAGCATACCTTGTACAGTTAGCAAAAAATGACGAGGTTAATGTTAAAAATCTTTCGCCTATGCAGAAGTTTTTAACATGATTATATAATAAATATATGTAGTACGACAAAATTATCTGACGCGGTGAGATAAAGTGTAACATTCAGTCTCACGATCCAGATAAATTTGTAGGACTATAAGTGGAAAGTGACAGTCAGTATAATTGTAAATAATTCAGCTTTGACAAGACTATGGATATTTTTCATACGACTGATATGTAAATCGTGTAAAAAGTTTATATATACAGTTTTTTTTAAAAGCATTTATTTTTTTAGATGTTGTGTCGAATTATTTTTCAAAGGCCGGCAACGCATCTGTGGTTCCTCTGGTATTGCAGATGTCTATGGGCGTTGTTGAACACCTCGGTGTTCCCGCTGCTCGTTTGTCCCCTTCTGTTATAAAAAAAATCAATTGTTTTTTTTGTTAGATAACGGTTTAATGTATAGTAGCATTTTTTTTTGTATAATTTGGTAAAAGGATATAAAATACTGAGAATTTTAAACAGATATTTATCGACTTCAAAGTAAAGAGGTTATCATTTAGTCGGTTTTTTTATCATAGTTAATTCGGACACAACATCAAAACATTTTAATGTATTTATTAATCTGTATTATAGTAGTAATTAGTTTTAAGTCATGTATGTAACTAGGTCAGCTTAAAAACGTATTTTTTTTCATAACCACAATATTAATTTAGTTTTAGTGATACTGCCAGCGTATAACATAAGCCAGTCAATTTGTATTACTTTTTATTTTTAATTTTCATATAAAAAAAGAAACTATTTGGTAGATTTTTCTTACTTATTACTTTAAACAAACAATATCATTGTAGGTTTCGACTTGAACCAACTAATCTGTGCCAAAACATTGAAATGAACTTTGGTAATAATTTATTTCGCTCTTTTTTCAACTGTTAAATAGAGTCAAAATATCATAATGAGTTTTTTCTAATATTTCAAGTCATAATTTTATTATCCCTATGTGTCAAATAATATTCTATCTTATTGCTATAATTATACGAGTAATTATTTCGGTTTTATTGAAAAAAAAAAACAAATTGTCTATGAATTATAAATATGGCTGATAAAAGAGGAAAAAAGCGTGTGCGTGATAATAGGTTTAAATATCATGAAGGTTCATTTCATTTTGTCTTAGAAATTAGTACAGATAGAAAGAAAGAGATAGATAGAAACGTCATTGAAATTTTTATTGCGTCACAATTCGCGCCAAAAATGCTTTTTAATATCTTTATTTACGTTTTGAATTAATTTGGAAATCTTTTATGTATTTTATTACCTTTTTTTTTTCTTCGATAATGTAATTGCGTGTTACAATATTTTTTTTTCTTGTATACTTTATTTTTTTTTACTTTCGATTGAATGAAATAATTATTTTGTTCATAATACTGTTATCATAAGCAATCTTGATATGCAATACGACAAATGTCAAAATATTACTTTTAAATTATATGTGTAGTTTAAAAAAAAACAAATAAATTTTGTTATTTCCAAATTTTTTAAAGCAACGATTTAATAATTCACCGTATCTATATATAGTCTACAAAACAAGAAAATAAAAAACCATTGTTAGTTTTTGCAATGTTTATTGTATAATTAATATTGCACTTTTCATGAAAAACTTACTATTGTACTAACCGTGGGTTTTCCGAGACCACAATATCTGTATAAAACATATTCTCATCCCTGTAGTGTATGTATAAACGTAATGTCGTTTGTCTCGAGCGTACACGACATAAGTACATGCCGGAGAGAGGGGGCGTCAGTCGATGTCAAACCTTTGGAACGGCAGCACGTGTCGGTACGTGAACGAGCCAAATATAACGCAACGAATGCTACAATCCCTATTAATATCTTTGGCAAAACAGAGGTAGCAATATGTTTTAAACATTGATTTTAGTCTCACAAACCCACGGTAAGAGTAATTATGAATGTCACATTTTACAAATCATTCCTTTGTACGTATAAAACTACCTCACTGTATTATTGCTCATTTAAAAAGCAATTTCTTTATACTAATTTCAACTTTTTTGAAGACCTTATTTCAATGAAATCAGATCATAAAACATAGAATACTAACATTTGGTACAGATTTCGAAATTATTCAATGTAAAGATTTGGATATAGTTTTATTAATAAAATTTAAAAAAAATATGGATTTGTTATAATAATAATGAAATAATATTTTTACAATTAAAAGTAAACATTTAGCGTGTGTTGTGCAGATTATAAAATTGTTTGTTACCCCTGGTCATTAATTTTTTAAAAATTCAATTCCCGGTTCGAAGCATTGATTTGTACGTTTAATATATTTGTTAATATATTTGTTAATATACAGTATTTTTAAAAGCGAATACATAATATGCAATTATCTTTTAGCATTTATTATTATCAAGCTATTTTATTAAATATGCATTATGGTTTTCATAATTTGTCTATGAGTGTGGATGGTGCTAAGATTTAAAAAAATGAATTTGTTGAATAGCCTTCAATAATGTTTTGCTATATTTAAATAGGACGCGAGCACTTGCCTAAACTGTCTACTCCATGTTTGAACTCGCCTAGTTGTATCCCATTTACATACATTAAAGGGCAAAATAGACATCGTTCATTTTATGAAATTAATGATTTCCGCGACCGAAATAATGAAACATGGCTCTGTCTTTTCAAGGAAATGAAAGAGATGATAATATGCCGTTAGATATTTTGGTAATAGAAATGATAAGGAACACCATCCACACTTAATTTGAATTTTAGAATATGAATTTCAATATATCAAACGCGTGAGTTTTATTTTAAACATTGTATTATATTAATTATTTTTCTAATTGAGTATTATATAAACCTTCTGAATATAATTACCACCTTTTAGAATAACCATAAATACTGGCAATACCTTTAAGTTTATTTGGTCATTTTGACCATATGTTGGCCAAATGACCAAATGGTTTTGCAGCGTAACATGTACTTTTGTTTAAAAATATAATCTCCATTTCTATTAGTTGCATGCCTTGTATTGAACTTTATAATTTAATACGTTGAGCGCCACTCATATTTCTAAGACAATTCAGGCCACGAGCGCCGGCGGTATTAAAGGGCCGGTGTTTCCGATCGCAGTACAAATTCCGTAAAATCGTCAAAAAATTACATGTTACACGCTGTCAGCCACCGATAGCTGACGCGGACTAAACGGAAAGGTTAGTGTCAGCCACCGATGGCTGACGTGGCTCTCAACGTGTTAAAGCGAAAGTCTTATCCGAGTATAGTCTGTATTAAAAGTTAAGTATTGTTGACATATAATAATATAGTTGTAACGCTAGTACGTAAATGGAACGTGTATCAAACGTTGTAAATATCCTGACATATAAATTATTGTATTTCATAATAAAAAAAATCATCAGTTATTCTAGTTTTATTAATCAATCAAAAATGGCGTCAGTGCAAATTTATACGATGTTGCCATATCCTCCAAACGGTGATGTTATATTAAAAACAGAATCCTTTATAAGATTTAAGCGTTCTCTTTAATTCTCTTATAAGAAAATAGCTTAATAAAGTCCTTTTCCTCTCTCCTTGGATTATTCTTCTGCCAGTGACCTAAGGGAGAAGTATTTTCCTGATTTGGAATTTAAATCATCTGATAAAATGACTTGGGTGATCAAGGTATGACACGGCTATACTGAGACGAATCTAATTTAAGATATTCAGTGATGAATAAATAACTACACATCGGAAAGGCTTTGCCGTCATGTAAAAGAAGAACGCTATCTTTATCTGTTGTGCCGAGATGCAGACCAATGAAGAAGGTAGGTGTGTGAATAGG